GGAGATGATTAAGAAATTGCAGTTTGGTGGGAACACCAGGCATGATAGGGAAGATGAAGGAGCAGTAGTGACTGAAAGCTGGAAGGGTTTTATACTTGGTTGGATAGTTAGGACTCATTAAAAGACCCAAGAAGCCAAAGATTTCCTGCAGAGTTTTAGTAAAATATGACAGGTAGGCTCCACTCAAAACCCTTAATCCCTCAAGACAAAACATTACCTAACTTGGTAATGAAATCAGTCAAAGTCAGTTGGGGTAGTCAGTTCTTTATTGGACATAACCAAGGATATAAATATTTTTATAGAATTTCCTCCAGTTCTGCAATAAACTGAGATGCAAAGCCATGTGGCAGTTTACCTGAGCCAAATATTTTCATCTATTTTTAAATGAATGTAGCCAGCAAATTTGCTTCCTGGGAAGAGTCTGAATAATCCTACGGAGGATTCATAGTGGTGATTTTGTTCACATGTAAAGTGTAGAAGTTTGCGTCCAGATGTACAGCGGTTGTTGATTCTAATTATATCAGTTGCATGTCAATGAATGCATTTCTTTTTGGTGGTTTGCCATGTATTTATGATGTGTAGGGTTTATTTGCAGGGGTCAATAAATGGGCTTAAATAGTTGCAATACATAATTATGATTAAATGTGAGATATTTAAATAAAATAGTTAGGATATGATGTAAAATAAATAGATCCTGCTCAGCACAACTTTCTTTCCTTTTGCTTTGTTTTGTTTTATAATATACGATGCCACAAAAGAGATTTCAAGTTTTACAAAAAATAATGTGAAGATCTACATGAGTTCCTTGGTCTCCACCCAAATTAACTGGGTATTATGGGATTTCATAGTGATGGAAAAATAATGAAGTATCTTCTCCAGTAAAAATACATCTGCTATTTTAATCAAATAGAATATTTCAAGAATGTGTTAAGATCAATTTATATATTGTAGGTACAGATATGCATATTTTTAAAGCTTTCTTTTTTTAATATCCAAAGGGAAATCATTAAATATGCTTTATGTTTCCGTGATCTAGCTGATAATGCCTATAACCAAATATGTTGGAGAAAATTATCTTTGAATCTTTTCTGTCCATAGTTTAATTAACATACAGTAGGCAGAAAGCAAACAATCTGTTCAACCAGATTATTCACAGATTCCCTCCTATTGTTCTTGTTTTCACTACAGCTGGGAAGAGAACAATGACAACCCTTCTATCTCTTAATCTTCCCTCTGAGTGATGTGTTTTGTTGCCAATTTAAAGAACAATTTGTATTAAAGGAATATTTGTATGAGTTTGATAGCCCAGGAAATGTGGAAGGAAAATGTACAATATAGAATACCCAAGCTATGGTTTTTCCAGTCTTTATTTCCATAAAACATTCATTTTTTTTTGTTTTATCTTCTGCAAAGATGTTTTAGAAATGGGATCAGGCTCTAAGCCAATTTCACCCTTCAGTCTTGATGAACCATGTACTCCTGAATGATGAACACATGGTCACGTTTCCTTTATGCACAGGTGTGAAGGCTTGCTTAGTCATGACATAGCCAGAGACAAAGAATGAAGTTGAAAAGGGCAGCCCAAAAGCTATCTACCACAGCCCAGCCTCAGGCTCATAAATATTCTCATTAGAAAACCTCTCAGGCCTTCCTGAGATCCTGTTTACTCCTGGTAAACACAATCAGAGGGAGCAAATAATTGGTTGTCAGAGTTTGAGGGAGCAGATTGTAGGAGGAGCAAGAAAGAGGATAAAGGAAGAGAAGGGACAGAGGGCTGTGGTGGAGTCAGTGGGAGAGCAATCCAGGCAGGATCCTATCAGAGCAGGCTGTGTGCATGGGTGGAACTGTTGCAATAAAGCCCTCTACTCTGGAAAAGTGATATATGGGGATCAAAAGTAAAATAGTATAAAAGTGGCAAAAATCAGAAAATATTGCTCAACAATATGACTACAAAGAAACAGCTGCCAGCTATCTAGAGACTTCGTGCTGTAACTGCCACAGTAAGCATGGGCCTGTGTTGTATGTAAGAGGCCTACCTGAGTGTTGAGTTTATCCCTGACACTCTTGCTAAAAAATGAGCTCGGCACATTCATCAGACTTCCCAGTTTTTAACTTAAAAGTGAAATATGAGCATCATTATTCCTAAGTTGTGAAACTCCTTTCCATTTATTCTCCAGCCTAAAGGGCTAAGAGGAGGCATGGAAAAGGGAATTTGAGGAAGTTGAGAGAGAGAATCCTACACAAAAGACTCTTTCTTTCACTGTTAGTCATTCTGTCTACCCTTGTCCTGTGCCAGGATTCTGAGAGCTAATCTGGGGTTACTGGATCTAGTGACTACAGGGGAAGTATAGTTTGTCCTATGTGGTACATAGCTAAAGAGAAAATGGTAAAATCAATGGTAGAGAAAAGAAATTTTTAAAATAAACAAAAAAGACACAGAACTAAGAGGTCAAATATGGTGGCATATACTTGTAGTCTCAGCTACTCAGGAGATCTCATGAGTTCAAGAGTTTGAGACCAGCCAGGGTAACATGGTCAGACTTTTTTTTTTTAAGGGGGGTTACCAGGTATCGAACGCAGGACCTTGCGCTTGCAAAGCAGGTGTGGTGCCACTGAGCTAAATCCCCAGCCCACATGGTCAGATTTTGTAACAAAATAAAACAGAAACAAAGGAAGGGAAGAATAAAGGAAGGAAGGAAGGAAAGAAGGAAGGAAGAAGGGGATAGAGGAGGGAGGATAAGCCAGAATTGCTTGGAAAATTTGATGTCTTTAATAAAGGCTACTGCTTTGAAAAACATTTTATAAATTATAAATAATTATAATTATAATTAAAAATAATCATAAAAACATTTTATATATGTTTTTCCTTGATTTATATTTCAGAGCACTGATGTTTCTCTGTTTGAAGACTATCCCTTTGTATATGGTTTTTTAAAAAAACATTTCTCTGTCTGGTTCCATTTAATCCAAGCACTGCATGATGTTTGTCACCATTTCTTATCAACATCACCATTCTAACAGGCTCCTGTCTAGAGTTCCACTTATCTGCCCAACTCTTGCTGTTCACCCTGGTACAATTTGCAGCGAGCCACACCCCATGTGCAAGCACACGTACACATCTCTTGAGTTGACCTGAGTTTTGTGCTAGGAGGTTTTATCCAGTTGTTAGAAAATTTTATTGCTTACCTTTGTTGGAAGCCACCTCATATATTTTCGATAATGAGGCAAGATATATAAATAAAGCAAATAAAATTGCTTTATGTAGCTTTGCCTGGCATCATAGGTCTTAGAGCCTGACACATTCTTAAGCAAAGCTGTCGGCTTTTGCAGGTAAGATAGTTTCATTTCCATTTAAAATATGGCCTAACCAAAGCACAGAGACTTTTGTAAGTTATGCTGGTTCCTACCACCAGCAAGCCTAAACAGAAAAATTCCAGCCCAAGTCCTCTGAATCTTTGTATAGTAGCTGTGTCTAACCCTTGCTCCAAAGAGACTGTCAGCAAACAGTTCCCTCATTCATTCCCTCATTTACTCAACCAGTGGACATACTAGTACTGTTCAGTGGCCAATAGGGACCAGAGTGTTGAAATGTTTTCTATAGTGATGATGACAATACTGATTAGATGGGACCGGGACTGGGGAACCACACGTGACCCTTTTTTGTACATGGGTATACTTTGGCCTATGAGTTGGTAAATTGGGCACAATGCTGCATGTCCCTGGCTCTTGGCTTTCTCCTGTAGAGTTCTGGTTATTTGTGTCCCTGTGGTCCTTTTTAAGGGCAGGTGTTCTTCTCAGAACTCTATGCACTAAGGTACCAGGCTCTAAGGACCAGGTAGGCTCCCTGCAAAACCAAAACGTTCCTCTCCTTCTAGAATTATTCGTACCTTTGTGAGTTGAAAAGAATATGTTTTAGGCCATTTTGCCTGTGGTTAGTAGCAGTAGCCTTAAGTTAGTTTCTGCCTTTTAAGTAGCTGATAATAACACCATTATAAGCTCCTTTAAACACATTTTGGTTTCTTCGAATGTCCTTGTATTAATGGAACATCATGGCTATAATCAAATCACTGTTCTTTTAGCCTTTGATGATCCCATTTCTGGCCAGTTATAAAGCCAGTCAATTCGTATCTTTTGGTGATAGTGGGGTAGAAGAGGGTTGTTCTTCTTGCTCAGAAACTGAATTTTCAGTCCTCGGGGTACATCTTTCCCTGCTGACCTCGTGAAATGAAAGACCAGGAGTCATGATCAAATCTGATTTTCCCTCCCTTGGTGGCAGGATGAGCCGGGTCAGCAGGGCCAGTCTCTGCAGATGGCTTTAAAATGCCTTGGTGATTTGATCTCCTTGCTGTCCGATCCATTTCTATAAGTGCCTGTCACTGTCATCCTTTACCACCCTGGCAAGACCCCAAGGTGAGAACAGCACAAATGAACAATGCACTTGGGATGACTCCTGGGGTTGCTGCTTATTAGATGAGTTAGGTGATGAACCAAGGCTGGCTTGTAAACTACAAGGTAGGTTAGCACATTTACAGGAAGATAATTCCATGTGTGATTTAACCAGCTCAAGTACATTATTGTGTTTTTGCAGCCCAGCATAATTCACGTGAAATGAATATCAGCTTGTACTGTAAAAGTGTCTGATTTGTGTTTTCAACTGAGCTGAAGGTCCCTCGGTTTGATTCCTTTGCTTGGGTCCTCGCTTGCTTTTTCACAACACTAGAGAACATGTATGAGGTGTGTGCGTGCAAGGGTGAGAGGAGAGAAGAAAAGTGCATTGCTGCAGGTGTGGGCACCTGTGTGAAATCTACACAGTAACCATTGTCACAAAGTGTATGCTGTGACGCAGAGATGCTCAGATAGACTCAAAATACCACACGTAAGCTGGTTCCACTGTGATAAGTGAGTTTTCTATGCTCATGACCTGCAGTTACATTTTCCTCTCTAGTAGAAATGATGCATGAGTCATACCAAGCCATAACATACTTTAATTTCTTTTGCAGACTGGAGGTATGAAGTGGCTCATGCCTTCCCTCTGACAGAAGAGGAGGTGGAAGTAGACTCACATGCATACAGCCACAGGTGGAAGAGGAGCTTGGAGGCTCTCAGGGCAGTGGACACCAACCGAGCCAGCATGGGCCAAGACACGCCAGATCCTAGAGGCTTCACTGACCTGGTACTTGATGACGGGCAGGACAATGCCACCCAGATCGAGGTAGGCAATCATGGGGAAATTGAGATGGGTTAAGAATAAATACCTTGTAAGGTGCCCAAGCTCTAAGCTGTCTCTTCATCTCAATCTAGACCCTTCACGTTTCTTTCCTTAAAAATGGAGTCTTTAATTAATATTTGCTCATCCACTAATTTATTTACTTGTCACATAAGTGCTGTTTTGGTGAGGTGTTGACAGTGAGGGGCAGCTGCTCTGCAGGAAGGCATTGCACTGTGGCTCTAAGCACCACAGCCGCGTTAGCCCTGTATTGGATAGGAATACACGGCAGTGTGGCCTGCAGGACAGCATGACCAATGCTGCTTGGAATTGGGAATTGGGATGTTAACAAAGAGGCTTTGCCCAGGATTAGACATGTAAGAAAGCTTAGAAGATGGAGGGGAGTCCATTCCACTGATGACCTGGAAAGAGAAAAGGACATTGCTGGCAGAGTGTGTGGAATTCCCACTTGGGATTCCTGAGTGAGGGAAAGACAGAGCAGGTGGCAGTCTTACAAAGTGAAGAACTATTCTAGTTTCCCCATGGCTTGTCAGTGTTTCCTAGGAGGTAGGATTTCCAGAAATGAAGCAGTTTTGGACAAACCAGGATGCTTGGTGAGCCTGTGACTCTTAAGTTTCCCTTTGTTATGATTGGAGCTGCGAAGCGAAGGGAGTTGGGTGGCTGGAACTCAGTTTGATGAGGATGACGTCTGCAAAGGGCACATTTCAGGCACATTTCAGGCTTGCTCAGAGGCCCCTAAGGCGGTATTGCATTTCTTAAGTTTCCATGGTTCTTAACATTGCAAATCATAAAATATGATCTTGCTTGGAAGTCGTGGGATTGAGCAAAGACCACCCTAATGAGAATAAACAAAGGTTATTTATTGAGTTTGCTAAAGAAAGAGAGTCAGCCACCATCACTGTCTTTGCCAGGGACTTGAGGGATGGTAGGGTGGTACAAATGTTTTGTGCAAAACGGAAAGACTATGTTCTGATTGGGTATTGTTGGCTTGAGAAGCTGGAAGCAGGTTAATTAGAATAGCACCTTAGGTGAATTAAGGAATATATTTGGATTTCTATGGTTTGGTTGGTTGGTCCTGAATTGGAAGTAGGGGAAAAACTAAAACAAGCTCCCAGTGATTAACCAAGTCCTGACCATTCTCAGCTGACTGCTGCCAAGACTGGTTTGGTGGCTTGGACTGGTTGCTCTAGAGCCTGAAGTCAGCGTTCTGTTTGTCATACATGCTCTGGTCATTTTTGGCTTGTATATTTTCTCACAGTCTGATTTTTCAGTTCCTACTTATTCTTCAAGAAGACAGGCTTATAGTTTTTAAACCAAGCAATACTCTTTTACTGTACCATAATCCCTGAAATGCTCATGATTTAGGAAAAGAATTCGACTTGGAGAAGCAGATACTACATAGCCCTGTAACCAGCATTAAGGAATCATTTTGTTCCCTTCGACTGAGAGAAATCTTCAGAAGATCTGAAGCACAGCAGTTGGAATTCTGTGCACCTGAGAGACTCAGCGATTTCTGACACACACACACGACCGCACACGCACACACACTCCGTGGCCTTAGCTCCGTGGCTGTGGGCTTCCCTGGATGCCCATCCAGACCCTTTGACCAACAACAGAGGCTGTGCTGAGGGAAGAATCCTATGACTTCTATAAGAGGCCATCCTGACTCCTGAGGAGAGCCAGCTGTTTTGGCAATGATGTCCTTATAGCAGCTTGGAGTAGGTAACAAAATCCTTTCTGGCGCCACCCATTTGCTGAGCTGTGGCATAAAGAAAGGAGGGCTGAACTGAAAGAATCTGAGACAGGTACTCTCTGCCCACATCCAGGACCTGGCAAACTGAAAGGAGAGAGCACAGATTCCTGGAACTCTATAATCTCTCCAGGGAGGACCTTACTTTTCTAATCACTTGTACAATAAAAACTTCCTTCCTTCAGGGGGATGTATTACCACTCCTCAAAATACAATCCCATTGTTGTTATAATGAGCATTGTATTTTTCAGCCATATTTTATCTTTCCCACTTAGAGGGAGACCAGAAAAGATCAGGAGTGTTGAGGTAGAGAAAAGCAAGAGGAAGGTTCTTACAGGGAGCTACCTGATAGGTACTCACCTGTGGCTATGATCTGCCAGGTGCTGGGTGGACACTGTCTTGTTTAATCCTTTTAGCGTGCTCGTGAAGTTGGTGTCCTCTGATTCTCTGGGCGATAACAATGACTTTTAGTTTCATATTTAAGGTTAGTATTTCCTAAGGTCTCCCATTAAGCAGAAAAGAGGCTGGTGTTCAAACCCAGGCTTGCCAAAATCCTAATCTTTAACCTTCACCTTAGTATACTCCCTATAGTAATAGGAAAGACAATGGCGCTTGATGTAATGCTTTTGGACAGGCAGCCCCATGAACATCTATATGAAAATAACATTAGGATTTCAATCTGGCTAGAAGGAAACTTGTCTTAAGGTACAGCTGCATAATTAGAACACTGAGTACATGTATTTTAAGATTGGTTTATTGTGATACAGTTCTGGGCTTTGATGGAGATGACTGGGAATCTGAATTTCCTCAAGTGACTTTTAGGAACAGCCATCGGTTTTGGAAACATAAATCTATGTCAGGGACTTCTTTGAAATATTTTAATCTTGACTCTTCAAACCGTATGTTTAAAAAAAATTATTTTTTGCATCTCTCTTAGGAAAAATATTCTTTTTTGCCCAATTAAATTAAAAATAAGAAAAGAATCAAATGGTTATGGAGTGACTAATATTGGATGGTCATTGTGATAAGATCTTTCTTATCTTTTAGGAAAAAACATTTTGGTTTATATTGTTAAATACAAACTACAAGCATGAAAGATTCTGTGTGCCTTTTTCTTCGAATGGTTTGAAAGTCAATCTCAGAAATCAAAACTGTTTGATTCAGAGCAGCCCTAACTGTAGTAGTGGCTGTTAAAAATCATTTCTTTCCTAGTGAGGCATAAACCACCCAGACTGGCATTCTTGAATTTGTTGTCATTTCTTCCATTGTCTAGACTTTGCATCCCACTTTCACTGAAGGACAATAACAAAGAACAACAAAACAAAAGAAGACAATAACATGTTTATTTTGTTGGCACAAATTCATCCTGAAATGAGCAATGGTCCTTAGTCTCTTAATATCGTACTTGGTGACAGTATTTTTTTCTGGCTCCGTTTAAGGATAGATAATAGAAGATTTGTAAAACTTAGTATCCCTGTTAAAGAATTTTCGGTGGCTGTGATTTTCTTTTTTTAAATGTTCTTCCCATGAAGATATAAAGATGTTTGGAAATGAACTGTATTTCCCATTGAATAATCAGGGACTCCCCAGCCTGTGACTGTCTCTGTTGATCAGTGTTGATTTCCAGCAGACCTGTCTGTTTGCTTTCCTTCTGTTCTTGTGGGTGTATAACCACTTAGCCAGATGAGGAGGAAAGTGGCTCTTCTGGTAAGTAGGACTTAGACATGAGATGTCAGAAAACAGCCAGTAAGTGTGCTGCTTTCTGTAATTATTTGGAGAAACATAAAGGACTGCAAGTCTTTCAGGTAAGATTGGATTCCATTCATGACTTGGCTTTGTTTGAGCAGCCTTCAGTGAATCCCCAGAGCCCAAGGGCACAGAATAATAAACAAGGCAGTGCCTAAGTCTTTACCTGGAAGGTGGCTGCCTTTCAATTCCCAGCAAGAACAGCGATTCTCAGACAGGTAAAGGCCTTAGTATAGCTGAGACTTACTGATGCTTCATAAAGCCCAGTTCCAACAGCCCATCCCTCCAGGATACCGCGGAGATCTTACAGTTCTTCAGTCAGTTGTCTTCCAAATGCAAATATCTTTGTGAAGCACTGAAATAAATAAATATGTGATTGTTACTTCATCACATCAGTATTTGGGACTGTCGTATTCCCTCTCTGGGGACAAGGAAGTGTTGATGAAAAATGATTATTGATGTGGTTTTTACCTTGATTCAAAAGCCCCTGAGTGACCTGATGAAGGGAAGTTTTAAAAATATGGCTTCAGTTTTGCAACCCAAACTGACTCAGAAATTGTGAGATAATCCATTCCTCTGAAACTTTAGTATACTTCCATGTCTCCTGGAGATCTGGTTAACACACACTCTGGTTTTCCAGTTCTAGGCTGGAGCCTGCCTGACATTCTGCATTTCTAGCAAGTTCCCAGCAATGCAGCTGTGGCCCCGATCATCAGGCCACACCTTGAGTTGCAGTGAGCTAGATCACAGAACAGATTTAGCTACTATTAGTTTGAAAGAAATGAATGTCCTGAAAAAATCTTAAATTTCATTTCTTCCCAACAATATGTCTTATGCAGCTTTCATATTGGTAAAAAGTTAGACATTGCAGACATAGTCAAACAACTGCTGTATCATCCAAATGTGTTCATCAAAGTTCATATTTGAGGAAAGCTCGATGGACAGTGATCAGCAGAAATAAGGGTTAGATTTAGCTAAAATAGAGAACAACATTTTTTCTCTTAACTACACATGTAAAAAATCCTTTGATGTGCCATAGCACATAACTGCCTGTTGTGTTGGCATCTTATTTTTGCAAAGTGTATGATATGCTATTCTCACATGTTACCAATGGTTAATTGCTGTACCCAATAGTATTATGTGGGCTCTAATTTTTTGGAGGGGACTCTAATTTTGTACTTAGGTTTGTACCTAGGTAATTTATTTGTGATAAAAGACATCACTAGCAATTGTTTAATCTAAAAGATATGTATATGCTTTGATGATTAGTTTATGAAGAAAAAGATTTTTTTGTCATTTTGCAATAAGCAGAATGTCTATTGTATTTTTGCAGTATAGAAAGCATATCAGATTATCCTTAGATAGTCAAAATTCTTCTCTTTTGTGTGTCTGTGAAGACTAAACTTTCTCAGTTTCAGAGGTGTGACAAGAATAAGTAGATATAGAACAATAGAACATCATTATACTTCACAGAACTAGAATGATAAAA